AAGGTACCAGCTCCAACACGTACACAGCAGTCCTGTTTCTGTTGTAGACATTCTTCAGACCGTTACTATAAATCTTAAAAATAAGTCTGGAAAATACCAAAATCCTCATTTTCTTACACATGAGAGTAATTGATTCTCTCCTTTGCATCCTGCTGCAATTGAACAACTGAGATACTTCACTAAAAATAAAAATATTTTTGTTAGTAATGGTATTCTTAAGTAATCACCTGGTTACAAATGTGCCTATATGAAAAGCATCAAGCATTGCAGGACCTTATAAAATTATCCCAATCATTTTAAAATATTCATTTTTGTGATGTGGACCAAATCCACACAGTTTATAATGGTTGAATTCAATCCTCTTCATAGTAAGTATTACTTTAATCAACAGATTACAAAACGAAGCCTGTAATTTAGCACCTGGATAAACTGATTACAAGTAGTTTTTGGAGTAGGTATTATCCATACAGGCAACGTATGCTTGTACAAAGTCCTTTTATCAGAATGCTTCACTCTCTTCTCTCAAAAGACATGCACAAGATGCAGAAGCATCCATCTCATCACTTTGATATGTGGGAAACAGACACTTCCTGCAGCAGAATGCCTTGTTGCTAGCACTTCTATGGGCTCGTATCTGACCTTGCTGTGTCACCAGAGCACACAGTCAGAGCATGCCTTTGTCAGGCCTGCACGTCTGTCCCTGCATGACATTTCAAGGGTAAAATATACGGGTTTGCTATAAGTGGGGGGCAAAAACTTCTAGGTGCCAGGGCTGTTAAGTCATTAGCAGCATGGCTGAGGGCTGGCACTGTAACGGCAAGACAGTGTGCTTCATGAGAAGGGATACACTTTGACAGCTTACAAGCTTGTGGGAACACAAAGCAACTTTTCATAGCAAACTGTGCAGTGTAGGTGAGGCCTGAGGAAATGAGTTCTAAGTTCTAAGTGCTTCCAGCCCCCTTCTTGCATGACCAATCATTTCCATGCCTGCATTGACACCCTTATTTGTTGTAATATGATTGTTTGTGGAGATGAGATCAGAAACCTGATCTAATTTAACAAGCACTCCTACTCTCCCTTTTTTTTTTTCCTGTTCTTGAGAACATACCATTGAGAGAAACATCCATAGAACCAAGGCCTGCAAAACTAGGGATGAGATTCTTAGTGATACCATAGCCAAAAAAGAAATTAGTTACCTAAATAAAACTGTTAATTAGATCTTAAATGACCTGTTAAGAACTGTGAGCATACAGATCCTTCAATCTCAGCAGAAATTCTCCTCTAGCACCCTAATGCTCTGTTTTCCTCATTTAGTAAATGAGTAGTAGTTGAATCTGCCACCTTCCAGATGCTAAGGGTGCATATATTTCACAAATGAAATACCAATAGAAGTACTAAAACAAGTTTATTTGAGCCCTAACTCCAAAATATACAAGTGTAACAGAATACCACACTTAATTAAATCAGGTTGTTAATGCAAATAACTGTTCACACAAGTTCTACACTGTCAACTTGTCACATCTTCCTTTGCAGTCTGACTACCTCCCTATTTTACAGGGAGATTTAGGAGGTTTCTTTCCTTCCCCTGGGATTAAAGACAGTGCTGAACCTTAATTAGCCACCTGCACCCACAGCATGGTGCTGAAGCTTGTTTACTTACAAGGGCTGCTGCACCCCGGGGAAGAGTCAAACTGTGGTGGGTTTTTTTCTTTTAAACATCCTATGTTCAGTTATACTAAAAAACATTAAACATTTTTGCATTACTAGGAAGAGAAAAAGGCTCCTTTTCTCACAGTACTACTTGAGTGCTAGACAAGAGAAAATACCTGCTGTTTATTTTCCTTCTCTCTTTCAATTGTAGCTTTGCCATTAGCAGACAGTGTCCAACACCAACTGATTCACACACTTTGTTCACTGGTTTCACTCTGTTCTCCGTAAGATACCTAAGGGGATTTTTGAAAATAAACACAATATTCAGAATACACACTTTTTTCCCCAAGATTTTTACTCATGTTAGCATCTCACATCTGAGCAAGAACAGCCCCAGGTACTGGTATAGGTTGGGGAGTGACGTGCTGGAGAGCAGCACACCTGGACAACAGGGTGACCATAAATCAGCACAGTGCCCCTGAAGCATACTAGAAGGGGTGTGGTTAATAGGTAGAGAGAAGTTCTCCTCCGCTTCTACTCTGCCCTGGTGAGACTGCATCTGGAATATGCAGTCCAGTTATGGTCCAGTTCTGGGCCCCTCTGTTCAAGAAGGACAAGGAACTGTTTGAGAAAGTCCAGTGCAGGGCCACAGAGATAACGAAGGGAGCAGAGCATCTCCCTTACAAGGAAAGGCTGAGTGAGCTAAGTCTCTAGTTTGAAAAAGAGAATGAGGGGGAGACCTCATTAAAGTTTATAAATACATGAAGTGCAAGTGCCAGGAAGATGGAGCCAGGCTCTTCTCAGTGACACCCAATGATAGGACAAGAGCCAATGGTGCAAGCTGGAACACAGGAGGTTCCACATTAATATGAGAAAATAAAAACTTCTTCACTGTGAGCGTGACAGAACACTGGAACAGGCTGCCCAGAGAGGTTGTGGGCACTCCTTCTCTGGAGACATTCCAAACCCAGCAGGGCATGCTCCTGTATGACCTGATCAAGGCGTTCCTCAGCCAGCAGGGAAATTAGACTGGATCATCTTTTGGAAGTCCTTCCAACCCCTGATATTCTGTGATGCAGAAGTCACTAGCTAATTAAAATACAAGAAAAAAATCGAAAACAAATAAAAGAAGCCTCTCCTCAAATCCTTTTAAATGGCAAAGTTTAAGCAAGCTTTCTATTTTCAAACTCTGTCCCTGAATGAAGCATTATTTAACATTAGCAATTGATAGCAGAAATAATCTAAACTGTTTTCTGCATCTTATTCACCATTCTTTGATAACACAGCTGACTTCAGAGCAGTACAAATTGGTCTACTTTGTCTTTTATATGTTCTGATTCAGTGGCAGGCAACTACCACTTACGGGCCTGATCTAAAGCCTAGCGAAGTCGACTGGAATGTTTCCAATGACTTCATTAGACTTTGGATTGGGTCTGAAGTGCAGCAATTTACTCAACTCTGGAGCATAAATTACAGACATAAAAAACAAATTATTTGCGTGTTGCTGGATTACTGACAGCAAAATGTATGATGTCAGAAAAATAATAGGCAGAGATAGCCTGTACAAGCTGGAAAAGCTTAAAATATAGACAAAGATAGGGGAATACTCTTTGGCAAGAACAGACTGTCTCAGTTACACTGCTGGTTGAAGAAAGTTGAGTAATTCAACAGAAAATTAAATGACTGATGTATAGCAAAAGATGACACTGTCTGTCCCAGTATAACTCTGCTGCCTGATCACCAAGTTTATACCTGGATGAGATGATGGTCTCCCATCACAGCAGGAAGAGCCCTGAATCAGTAACAACCTGTGTAAAACCCTCTGGGAATATTAAGAATTTCAGGGGCCAAAGCTCAGAGCAAGAGCCGACCGTGTGTGCCGACCTTGTGAGCCAAACACGTCAGCTGAGTCTGTTGCCAGGCTTACTATGATAACATTCAGGAGAAGATGAAATTCACTTAATAAATCAAACAATTTCCACTTGAAACAGATACTGATGTGTCTGAATTCCATACCGCACATCTTTATATATTCAGAGAGATACAAGAAACCAGGAAGTTATTTCAGCTGAAATAACTCAGCTTCTCCTTGTTTGAAAGTCTTCAAGACATTAGCATCTGACTGCAACTACGTCAGGGAATCCAAGAATACTGAAACACTTGTTATAAAGCTCCTATTTGACTTAATCAACTCCTTTTGGATAAGTAATGTACTTTCGCATACAATAATCCAATTATTGATGATTAATACTGTTGTGTAAAAAGACTGATTGGAAACAAAACTGTTTTTTGATCCAGAAGAACCTATTCAAGCAAGAACTAAAATCCTGGAATAGTTGATAATACAACAGCTGTATTAGTCCACTTGCATTAGTGGATGACTTCAATATTTAAATATTGATTCTCCGCAGCTCAGGAGAATATATTCACATTCAGATTTGGACTCAGGATGTTCTTTTGCTAGGCATGTATACCTTTAAATTCATTTTAGCAACAACTTAAGAAAAAAATTAATTTCAAAAGACACATTCATGGCATATTTTTTGAGTTAAAAAGTTAAAAAATAATCAGATACAGATAAAACACCTTCACATTAACTACAAATAATACATCACAAAAGGCAAAACTGAAAGACACAAGCACTTTGTTTATAAATTTGATAAGCAAACTACAACAAGTATCTTTTAAAAGAAACATAAGTATAAGGCCATTTTTGACATAAGGCAATGGAACAGACCAACAAACACAGCAATAACAGCAGAGCAGGAATACTCTAGATAGCAACAAGAGAGAATATGTTCAAACGTAACACCTACAAACACAAAAACCAAAAGTAATAGAATAAAAAAAAGCTACTTACCTTCAAAAGACCTCAGATACAGAGAAACCTCCAGCAAAACACTTCTGCCTCCAAAGCCAGCCCTTAAATGAGATCTGGGAAGAGCTGGATCCTGGCTCCACCCCTTCCAGTCACTCAGGTACACTGCATGCACCTGAGCTCCCCTAGGTTGGCCCTGCCTTCCCACCGGGTGCTCCATCATTGCTTCAGGCCGTGATTTGACATTTCTGCTACAGGTGCATATCTTCTGACAAACAAATGGTGCATATAAATTCATGTCCAACAAAAATTGTTCCCTTTTAAGTAATATTTTGCTATTAGACATTATCTTCTTCTCCCAAAAGTGAACAACAACAGAAAAAACAACTGTGTAAATTATGTATAGGAACTGTTGAATCAGGGCCTCAACCTTGGATTGATCACCTGACATGAGCTCTGAGTCAATCAGTACAGGAGCACAGCTGAAGGCAATTCACCTGTGCTGCAGGAAGGGGTGGAGCCTGGCTGCACCTCTCCTAGAGCCATTTAAGGGCTGACCGCCAGTGGGGAAGGAGCTCTTCTAGAGATTTCTCCTCTGGAGTTTTGCGGTAAGCCTAAGATACAGGTAAGTGTTCTGTCTATTTTTTCTTGTTGTTGTTGTCAGTTTTACTAAATTATCTAGTTTATTTCATAATTATAGTATTTTATATCTATTGATAATGCAGTTACAATGCAACTAAAAAAGTTTTTAACTTTTTTTTTTAAATTCAATTTCATTCAATTGCATGTCTTAATTCTGTTTGATTTATAAGAGCAAAATAGAAAATAAAAGGAGAATGCAAAGGAAATAATTAAACCAGATAACATAGTCACAAATAAACCAAAAGTACTGAACAAACAAACTTTTCCACTGGTAACATTTAAGTTTTGAACTACAGTAGTTTTTTCTCACTATGTCAATCTAACAGATTATCTTCAAAATGTTTTCTGTCTCCAAGGAAGAACAAAGAAAACAGGTACAGAAAAAGCATACTTGTAATATAGATCATATCTTGAAAAATACAACAGCTTTGAGTAATTAGAAATATTTGTGGAATTACTACAGGAGAAAAACTCATACTTCTCTAGGATAATTTTCCCCTGTCTTTTGGTACTAGCTATAGCAAGTTTATATTACTATAACTATTATTCAACAGCATCTGTTTATTGCTGGGTAGATCACATTCAACCTCGCCTTACACTCTTGCTTTGTTGCGGAAGGATGTGCTTAATCTGATGTATTTGTTTTCTCTGTGAAATAATAATAACAGATAGAAACCTATTTCATGCAGAAAGCCTTATTTTCCTTTAATCAAAAAAAGTACTTTGAAGTTTTGTTAGTGGGAGTTTCATAGACATTTTCCTACGAAAGATAGGCAATGAGACAAAGAGAAGTGACTTCTAGTTCTCAAGTTCTGTTTAATTTAGGAGTCAATATGATTTAGAAGCTAGACTAGGTTGAAAGACAAGGGGCCAGAAGACTTCAGTGTTTTGGGAAGGCTGAGTGATTCACTGAGTCACCTTGGGCTGATCATTTAACTCCTGTGTTCTGTAATGAAACCAGCTGGAATACAGGGTCAAAACACACACACAAAACCTCATTGAGAAACAGATGCTTAAATCTGGTTCAGTTCTCCAAAGTAAATACATTACAAGAAAAGAGCACGACAAATATGGCATGAGAACAAGACATTCCTTTAGAAGCCTCACTAAATCAGACTGAGAAGCAGCTGCAATGAATGCCTGTTCAAATGCAATGTTGAGCTAATTGCCAGCATAAAATAGATTCTGATATCTACTTGGTTATTAAAGACTCTCTTTGATACTAGAAGACAAAATTCAGGCTTCACAGACAGACACAACCACAGTGATTTCAGAAAGAAAAAACAAGCACAAACAAATAACAACAAAAAAGCATTGCAAACCCATGGAGTGGTATCTCATGGAGACAAAGCTTCATGCATACAAAAGAGACATTAAGTCAAAGAAGTAAGCTCTGCCAGCATCAAATAGTTTCTGAGCTTTGTCTATATCTTCACTTCCTCTAAAGCTCTGTGCATTTTAGGGTACTCTACTGTTCTAATCTGAATGCTAGCTCACACTTAAGGCAAACAGCAACACGTAACACTGTTCCATATAAAGATGTATATTAAATGCAGAATAAATCTAGTAGTTGAGGAATGAGAAGATAGATCCACAATCCACCCAGGTTTCATCTTCAAGTATGTCAGGTACCTCCTGGATGATAACGTGCGTGTTATAAAATTTTGATATTACAAGTGCCTCATCTACAAAATGGATCTAGCAGCACTTGCTGAGAAAGTTTGGTGTTGCGAGACTGAGGTGAGAAAACCTTAAAAGGCCTGCAGTTAAGGAGGAACTGCATGTGGCTGAATATGGCTGCCATACTTATTCTCCCTTTCCATTAATGCTCAATCAGCTAATTCAGGGTATCAGTGAAAATATTACGGAGTGGAGCTATACACAGTTTAAATGTCCCAGTGTTGTTCATCATCAGCTGAATTAATAGCATCTCTTTCACAGAATACACGAGTTTCATGCCAGGAACACTGTGCGTTACACTTCTGTTCAGAATCTTAAACACTACTCCTTACTGCAGTACTGTCACTTTACACATTTACAGTAGAACTAGAGTTAACCACAGCACAGGGAGCCACTAATGTATAACTTCAGCATACAAAAGACTCACTCATGGCATCAAGCCAAGAAATCTGGGTATTCCTGTGCCTGCACACAGCTGGCAGAAGCAGAATAGATAGGAAAAGTAACCTGACAAACCCCTGCTGCTTTATTTACACCTCAGAGCGGTTTCAGTGCAAGCCTGGGGACAAACCAAGCTCAGAATTTGATGTTTCTCAGCCCTGTCTTCTGGAGCTGGGCTGCGTTCTTCATGCTTTCAGTCAATATGCTTTTTTCTTCTTGGGGGGTTGGGAGGGGAGATGGACTGTGGCCAGCATGCCTTCAGCATGCTGACTACGTTCCCTTCTGCAAAATATTGGTTCAGGAGTTACTGCTATGTTTCTTTTCCATTATCTCACACTTGAACGTGCTAGAAAAGAAAAAGCCAAAATGTTTAAGGAGCTATTGCCACCTAGAGGCTAATAAGCGGTACTACACCGTACTGTCACAAGCACTAAGAACACTGTACTGCCACAGCTCACTGCTGTGTGCGTTCTCATAGTACAGGCACCACAGAGCTCTAGCTGGAGGAAAAAGGAAAGTTTTTATGCATCGAGGTTACCTCGTTTAAAATTAGTATCTTTTTGTACGATCTTCTAAAAGGATTTTTTATTTAGCACTAGAACTTTATTAGTAACGTGATTTATCTTAATGTTATTCATATTTTGTAATGTCATTGCTCTTGCCTTTACTTCCAGGAAAGCTGTCAGCAGTATGAACTGCTGCTTATTTCAGAACACAGGTGTCCAAGAATAAATGTCCTATAGAAAGAATAGGTTTTTTTAATTATTAGTAACTTATTTTTTTCTAGCTTTGCAAAAAGACAGGCTCCACAAATCATCTCTGGCCTTCCTAAACATGAAGAAAAACACACCTGGTTCCAGAAGTTCCTGATGTTGTCTTCAGTGTAAGCACAAGGCTAACAATTATTTCCTCCCTGGTAACTCCTCCATGCCCCTGAAATAAAATAATGGCGGAATCAATCAGATTGATTCGTTTGTAATAAAATAAAATTGCCTTGCAAAGGGAAATGCTACAAAAGTAGCATTATTAGGCAATATGGACTTTCTGTTCAAACTCTAAGAAAAGACAAGCAGCTTAATACTCTATTTCAGTTTGCTGAAGCTTTTGATGAGTATCTCTTTTCCTGCAAGCAAAGTGGCAGTACTTTCTTCATTTGTTTCTTCAACTAGTTCATTCAAACTGAAAAAAACTGAGTAAGAGATTTAAAAAAAATCATTTTTTTAAATTACTGTTTGTATCCATATGGAAAAACACCCAAAACATCAGGAAGGATGAGATAATATCCACATGCTTGAAAGACTGAGTGATACAATTAAATTCTTTTACTACAAGTATACTTCCATATGTTAATAAAACTACTTTTGATAACAACCCAGATGATTGGCCTCTTTGGGGAAAAAAGAGTGATCTCTCCTGTTTGATCTTTGGGCTGGATGATGAGCACATGCCAAGCCCTTCAGCACAAACATAGCTTTGTTCAGAATCCCACATGATACCTGTTGGCGCTTTGGGGTCATAGATGGGCATGTAACAGGGCCATGTCAAGCTTGTGCTACCTATTGTGGTAGGAAGAGGGTAGGGATAACATAAAGGTGGAAGACACAAAGCAGTGAGAAAACAGGATTCAGTACTGTATGGGAACTATTGAATGGCTTCTGATTGATCACCTGAGGCAAGCATTGAGTCAGCCCTGGAAACACTGGTGAAGGCAATGCAACTGTGCCACCAAAAGGAGGTGGAGACTGGCTGCACTTCTCCCAGATCCCATTTAAGGGCTAACTGCCACTGAAGAAGGTTTTATGGAGATTGCTGCTTTTGGGGGTGTTTCCTGTGAGCCCAGGACACAGGTAAGCTTTTTCATTTGTTTCTGATTATCCCTTTTCAACATCACAATCTTTCCAGTTATACGCTCTCTAAAGACCAGCTTAACTTCTCTGTGTATCTGTTGATTATGTCTGTGTACCTGTTGATTATACAAATACTTAAGCTGTACCAAGATGAGCTTCGCTCACATTGCATCTATTTGCTGTTCCCAGAGCCTTACATGGCTTTCATGGCCTCAACTCTTAATATTTCTTGACTGAGCAAACAAATGACCTGAGATTAACATCTTAAAGACATTTCAATGAAAAAGTATTCCTTGAAGGGGGGAATGACAGCTTTTACCACCAAGAAATCCAAAGAAGGAAAAATTCTGCTCCAAGTTAGAGGCTGCAGTGTGATATTCTAGCTGGTCTCGGAATGCATTCACATCAGCACCATCAAAAGTAATTCTGGTAGTGAGTTATGTAAGTGTGACGGCATGTTACATGTAGTCCTTTTATCTCCTCATTTAGAAGAGCATTAATTTATTACTCTCAGGAAATAATTGCATGAACTCAAACCCTTCTGTTACTTTCTCTACTGTGCTAACATATCAAGCTGTTGATTGTGCGATCAGTCCATCATTTAAGTACCACTAACATAAAATGCTAAGCACCTTGAATCTGATACGGTATCAAATCTACATGGAATCAAAGCAGTCAAAATAACGGTCCTGATTTCTAGCCTTCTCCAAAACTATGGAGAAGACAAGGCGTTAGGATTACTGTATTTTTGGAGAAGAATTTCAAACTCAAATAAGCTGCATTTCTGTAGTCCCCTGAGATTTAATAGTAGGGATGTAATACTGAGACCATGTGCTCTTTCACTTGTGCGTGAAGCACAAAGGTGCAGTCACCTATAAACAGAAGTAATGCAACCATTGCTACATACTTTATTAGCTATTATTACATTGCTTTTCTGCGAGACAAACATAAAATCTGGGCCTGTTTTTCATCAGCAGAAGAAAAAAGTCTACACACAGATCTGTAAAGAAAATGGTTGAAGATACTCTGACGCTTATATATTTAAGCCTGATCTTCCTACTGACAATTAAATATCGGACTGAACTATTTACATGTTTTTACATGTTTTTTCTTTTACCAGTAATAGTAGGTAAATAACAGTGTCTGCTATTTATTTTTATTGTTTATGTATATATTCTTTTTAAGAGATTCTAAATGAAGGATTTAACTGTTTTGGAGGTAGAAGTGTAAACACACCTTCAGTAAGAAATTGCAAAAACATCCATGAAAGTCTCCAAGTAATCCTAACTTATCAGAATCCTGGAACGGTTTGGGTTGGAATAAACTTTAAGATAATCTTGTTCCAATTCTCCTGCCATAGGCAGGGACACCTCTCTGTGGACCAGGTTGCTCACAGCCCCCTCCAGCTGGCCTTGAATGTTTCCAGGGAGTGGGCATCCACAACCTCACTGGGCAACCTCTCAATATGTACCTCTCATGGGAAATAATAGTATCACCACAGGTTTTAAGCCAAACTTGGAATAGGCAGTTTAGGATGGGTACAATGGGTTTCAGATAACTCTGATTTCACATTTTTAGATTCTCAGGCAGAAGGGTGACGAGGATATGGCTTGGTGCTACATCAGACACAAAACCTGTCATCCTGTCAAAATTTTCTTTCCACCCTCCTGTGTTGCTGTTTGTACAGTAAGTGCACAGCAAGGCAGCCTGAAGACTTTATCCCACAGCCAAATATTGTTGGGCTTGGTGCGAGGGGGGGTTAGCTATCAGCCAGAGCATTGCTCTCACCATGTTCTGCTATTCCTCTGTAGGAACCTGCACAACAGCACAGAGGCACCATAGGTACTGAGCTGGGATTTTGGGACCCGGGCATCTCAACCTGGGCTGCTTTTTTAGCCTGCTGACTTCAAAGTACTGCTCATCTGCCAACTTCTTTAATAGGAAGAAAGTGGTTTGCACCTTCACATGAGGAAATATAAACCTCATAATTGACTGCTTAGCCAAGAAGCTAGCTGGGGAAGTTTTTTTAATTACCAGGCTACACTTCAATTTTTTATTGTCTTTAAGAACCAGGCTTCATCACCATCATTCGTATTTACACCAGACAGCTTTCAGTATTTATTTGGTCTTTTCTGTTTGTTGCTTGATGTCGCCTAAATGTCTGTTTCCCTCTTCCCTGACTAACAGCAGCTCCTGCCCTGCACCTGTTACCCTGGGCTGTTAACCCACAAGAAAAAAAAGTTACCTGTCAGAAAAATCTCTTTGAAGCATTCCCTCCTGCATCCCACAACCTTTCGTAGTGCAGCGAGTCCTGAGACGGGCGGGAGCTGCTTCAATAGATATCACAGCCAAAGCAGGAGGGTTGCGCTAAAGCAGAAGGAATCCCAATTCACACACGTAGGGCCGCGGGGCCGTACCGACAGGAGCCCTCACACCGGGCTATTACCGTGGGCTGCGCCTTCAGGCCAGCTCCCGCCCTAGCAGCGCGGAGCGCCCTCAGCCATGAAGGGAGCTGAGGCGGGGCGCGCCGCGTGCGGGCAGCGCTGGGCCGTACCACTGCGTGCTCGTAGGGGAGCGCCGCTCCCCTCAGCGCGGCGTGGCACTCCGGAGCCGCCCAGTGGAGGAGCCCGGCAGCGCAACCGCCGCTTCCCCCCCACCGGCGCCTTATTTCTCCCCTACGCGGGCGATGGTACGAGCCGCAGGCGCCCGCGCAGGTGCGGCAGATGGGACAAACCAACGGTGCTGCGGGGGGGGCGAAGGAAGGCGGGAGTGGGGTGGGCGGGCGCGCGCGTGCGGCGAGGAGTGATGAGAGGCGGTGGAGGCGAGAGGGCGAGGCCGGCACGGGGCCGGCAGCGGGCGCATCATCGGGCAGCGACGCGGCCGCCGCGGGAGATTGAAGCGCCCGTTCCGCAGCCGCGGGGCCGGGAGGGGGCGGCACCGCAGCTTCTCAACTGCTGCCCGGGGGAGGGAGGGAGGGAGGCAGAGGAGTGGGCGGTGCGACCGCCGCTTCACCGGTAAGCGCCGGGCGGAGGGGGCAGGCCGCGGGCCGCGAGCCTGGCCGCGTGTTGAGCGGGGCGGGAAGGCTGTGGGCTGAGGGGCCGCGTCGGTGCCGCGTCGGTGTCTTGCGGGGGGCGAGAGGCGGGAAGGGGGGCCGGGCCCGGGCCGGAGCGGGAGCGGGCGGGCCTCGTGTGACGGTGGCGGCGCGGAGAGCCGTCCGAGCAGGGCCCGGCGCAGGGTGGGGGTGTGCCGGCGGCCAGCCGAGGCACAGAACCCGGCCTGGTGCAGAAAATAAAGTTGTGTGGCTTGAGTCAGCTTCCCGAGCTGATTCTCGTGCGGGCGCTGGGGGTGCAGGGAGGAAGCGCGCACTGGGCTGCCGTGTAAGTGCGGGTGGGATGCCTTAGTGCCATTACTCGGTAATTGTAATGTCTGTAGCGACCAACGGGCTGTCCTTAGTGAAGCGTTCATTTGAATGCCGAGGGTCTTTAGCTTTCGGTGGATAAGTTTCTCCTTATGCCTTACAAATCACTGGAGTCCTTCAGCGGGAGCCTCACCTCTCCAGAAGCCTTTTGTAGCAGTGTATGCATGGGAAAAGCCTGTGAGTCAGTGCTGCTGCTGGCCCTCAGCAGTCAGTCACAAGGAGAGCAGGCCTCTTGGGGATTAACTGCTACATGGTGTGGATTCTGGGATTTTTTTTTCTGTGTGTTCTTATCAAAGCCTGTTCCGTCATGTAGAGGGTGGCCTTGTGTTTACAGGCACAATACAGGGCATCTGCCATTCCTCTGGCAGACCCTGACAGTCACAGTGTCAGGAGCTCAAATACTATAGAAGACAAATTTGTAGGCATGTTAGTACATAGTTTGGGTGCTGTGTGTGACAAATAGAATGAGGAAAAATGGAATAGTCTTCATTAACTCTGTAATCGGACTCTAGCCTGCTTGGCCTCAGAAGCCTCTTGCCAAATCACTTGACTCTTTATGAGAACAAACTCTAGCATGCAAGAGCCTGCTACTTACAGTTTGTGAAGTGGATGTAGCAGTGGAACCAGTGATAGCAGCTGTTGGCTGCTCACTTCTATGAGTTGGCCGTTTCCACCTTGTGGTGAGGAGTTAGGGCTCCTCCCAGCACGTTGACCCCACACTGCCCATCTTAGCCCTCACGTTCCTGGGGCCTCACAGCTCCTAGTCATATAATTGTTTGAGTTGGGACTTTTAAAGGTCATCTGGCCCAATTCTCCAGCAATGAACAGGGACAAACACAGCCAGATCAGGTTGCTCAGAGACCCGTCCAGCCTGACCTCGAATGTCTCCAGGGATGGGGGTATCCACCATCTCTCTGGGCAATCTGTTCCAGTGTTTCACTACCCTTATCATAAAAACTCTTAAGTTCAATCTAAACCTCTTCTCTTTTAGTTTGAAACCATTTCCCCTTGTCCTATCACCACAGAACTTCCTAAATAGTATGTTCTCTTCTTATAGCCCCTGTTTAGATGTTGAATGGCTGGTCTCAGGTCTCCCTGAAGCCTTCTCTTTTCCAGTCTGAACAGCCTTTCACTTTCAGCCCTGAACAACTCTCTCAGTCTGTCCTTGTGAGGAAGGTGTTCCATCCCTTGGATCATTATTGTGGCCCTTCTCTGGACACACTGTAACAGGTCTGGATGCAGTGCTCCAGGTGAGGTCTCACCAGCACAACCTAGAGGGGCAGGATCACCTCCCCTGACTTGCTGGACGTGTAGCCAGGATGTGGTTGGGTTTCTGGGCTGCAAGGGCACATTGCTGGCTCATGCCCGGCTTGCCATCCACTATTACCCCC